CAAAATCATGATTGCATGTTCCAAGGCTACTGATGCTGAGCCTGTTCAGGAAGCTGCACATGTCGCTACCAATACCCGCACTATTGGTCCCGTGACAAGGAGCATGACTAGAGCCTCCACCCAAAGTAGCATGGAAGCTCCATCGATGCCAACTCCCGTCTTCGGTTCAACGTCACCAATAAGCTATTCGTCCACGATGGGAATCCAAGATGTTCCTGCCTCAATTGAGAAGGCTCTTGTCATGCTCGAACTTGGATCCGAATCCAAGTTCTCTAAGGATGACGATGATTCATCAAATACTGGATCAGCCTCTTCACATGAAACTCTTCATTCAAGATTTTCTATTGAAGATTCTGCTGCTTCTTCTGCTGCAATGCCTGCCATGATGACAAATACTTTAAGTCTCGAAGAACAAGTTTCGAACATGTCCAAGATGATGGAAACCATGATGAAACACATCAAGGACCAAGATGCTCTCATTGCTCAACTGCTCACTCAAAAAGATCACGCTGCTGAAGGAAACCATGCGAACCAAGAGCGTGAAAATCCCTCATCTAAAGGCAAAGACAAGGTGAAGGAAGTATATGTGACCGCCGATGGAACTATCCCCGTGGAACAACTGAAGGAACTTGTTGAAGGCGTGATCAAAGATAAAAATGAGGGTGGTCCAAAGTCGAGTTTTACCTACTGCAAGCCTTACACCTAGTGCTGTTAATCGAGCCGAGTCGAGCCGAGTATCTGAACGCCGAGCTCGACTCGTGACGAATTCGAGCCAAGCTCGAGCTCGCTCGTTAGCGCTAACGAGCCATAATATGCACTCGAACTCGACTCGAAAAAAGGAAATGTGACTCGAACTCGAGCTCGAGCTCGACTCGTTTATCACAAACGAGCCAGGCTCGGACGAGCTCGAGCTCGAGCTCGAAATATCTATCCGAGCTCGAGGCTCGATTTCGAGGCTCGAGGCTCGATTTTAGACTCGAGTTCGAAGCTCGAGACTCGATTTTGAGGCTCGATTTCAAAATTCAACAATCAGTTATTACGAAGTCCTGCTCCAGCATATCCAGATTTAGGCTATCCAAAATCAACAAAAAATATTAGGATTGGCAACCAATGCCATTCACATTCAACAATACACAAACTCTAACCACATTTCATCCAAGACAAATAAGACCATAACATCCATGATCCATACAACACAAACTCCAGGGACTGCAGTCAACAAATACACAAACTACAGTCTAATTCCATATGAGACAACATTCATAAGAGCCAATATACCATAACAGGTTTTGTCCAGCCAAATAAACGCACAAACTACAACTAAATAACCATGTAAAACACTGCTACATAGCTTAAAAATTGTCCAACTTCAAACACCTGACAAGAAAAAGTACAACCCCTTCAGAAATCACAAGAAAAAGCACAGCTTCACAAGTCCAGCTTTACAAATCACAAGAAACAGCATCACATATTCCAGAAAACAGCCTTCAAATGTCCGGAAGATCAATTTCTTCAATTGTAGATGATTCGAAAACATCGAGTGGTTCCTACAAAACGAAAACAAGAAAGTTACAACTCCTAGCAAGATAAAATGAGCTGCCAAAATAAATAACTAATAGAGTATATATTTTACTTACACGAGACTTGTTTTTTAACCCATGAAGATTGCGGATCCAATCATTCCCACAAAGTAGCATTTGAACCGTTTCAACGGACATAGAAGCACGCCTATCATCGATTATTCTACCACCAGCACTGAAAGTAGATTCGGACGCCACGGTTGTAACTGGAATAGCGAGTATATCACTTGCCAATCTTGACAATATAGGAAACCTCCACCTTTCCCCTTTCCACCAACCCAAGACATCAAGATTTGCATTTGCATCACAAACATATCTGCCCTCTTCCAAATAGACATCTAAATCTGATTTTTCAGGGGGAGCCTTGTCAATTTCACTAACAATCATCTGAAATTTTTCTTTCCCAGTTAGAACATTAACTCCAAGCTTTTTAGCAGCCCCTTGAGTAGATTTACTTGAAATTTCCGAATGTTTTCTTTTTCCAGCTTCCCTTGGTGGTTCCTCACTATGAGATGAGATGTAAGCATCCACATATTCATTATAAAGGTCATAAAGAATGCATCTCATCTCATCAATGTACCTAGGGGCTGCAACTTCTCCATAAATAACTGGGAAAGTATGATTAACAAGGACCATTTTGTACCTCGGATCAAGAATAGCACCCAAAGACATCAAAACATTGCTTTCACCCCAATACTTGTCAAATTTTAGTGCCATACTTTCAGCCATAAACCTAATATGATCAGAAAAATCGAGAGCTTTTTCATTTAATAGCTCTTTAATCCTATACAACTCTACAAGAAAAAGGTTAGCTGTTGGGTAATCGGATCCAGAAATAATATTGGTGATCTCATAAAAAATACCCAAAAATTTACATACTTCTTCAACTTTCATCCATTCAAACTCACTTGGGACATAGTGAAACCCAGGATCAATGTCCCCATACCTGGGAAATATATCCCTAAACTCTAGAGCTGAAGCCAACATCAAATAAGTGCTGTTCCACCTAGTTGGGCAGTCCAAAATGAGCTTTCTAGAAGGCAATTGAAGCTGTTTTTTTATTTTGGCAAATTCATTGAGGCGAGACTCTGAATTTTTCAAATATTTAATCCCCTCTCGAACAACATCAATCACATCAACAATTTGATTAAGCCCATCTTGAACAAGCAAATTAAGTATATGGGCACAACACCTAACATGAAAAATTTTTCCTCCAATGCTCAACCTTTTTCTTAGACAGAAATCCTCTTTAACTCTCCTAATGCATACATCATTATAAGAAGCATTGTCCACAGTGATAGTAGAAACCTTATTTTCAATCCCCCACTCAAGAAAACACTTACTTAACGCATCAGCAATAATTACGCCCGTGTGAGGAGGTGGGACATTACAAAAATTTAGAACCCGTTTTTGCAACACCCAATCACTATCAACAAAATGCCCAGTCACAACCATGTATTGAATTTTTTGACCAGATTTCCACAAATCTGTGGTTATACTAATCCTATTGGCACCTTTTAAGATATTTCTCAGCCTTCTCTTTTCAAGCATGAAAGCAGTCACACAATCTTCCTTTACTGTTTGCCGGTTAATCTTTTTATAAAATGGAGATACAGCTTTCATGAACTTGTTAAAAACAACATGATCCAACATAGAGAAGGGATACTCATGTACAAGAACCATATGAGCTGCTAACTCTCGTACTTTAGCATGATCATAAGAGAAATTAGTTATAGAAGTTATACCATCCGAGGGGCCTTCGGTAAAGGATAACACTTGCTGCCTCTTTTGATTTTCCTCTCCAACAGCCAGCCTCTTTTGTAGGCAATTTTTGAGATGACGCTTGTGTTGAGAAGTAGCTCCAGATGGATTTTTGACAAATAGTTCTTTGCAGTGATTACACTGCACTTTCAATGTTCCATCAGGCTGTTTTACTATAGTCATATCCTCCCATATTGTTGACTTCTTTTTTCGTTGTTTTTTTTCAAACGGATTTGCTCCTTCAACAGCACCTTTTTCCCCTGTTTCTGTTCCTTCATTCGGCTGATCTAAGTGATCTAAGTCCAGCTCTTCTTCGCTCATCTCATCAGCATTAGACTCCACCTCAAGTTCTTGTTCGACAGCTTCATTTTCAACCTCCATAATTGGACTTGTTGACGATCCTTGGTGACTGTACATACCTATTATTTAAAAGGAAAAATATACTTGAGTCAAGTCCATAAGGAACATATGCAGGAATATAGTGAAGAAACGCTATAGTGAAGAAATCAGTAAAATTAAAATACAGAGTCCTTAAAAGAGGGGAAAGGCAAAAAAGAAAACAATAAAAGAGACAAAAAAAAAGTAAAAGGGAAAAGCGAAAGCAGAAGCACAAGAAAATGTCTCATAACATTAACAGCAAGGTGCTGGTTTAAGTAAGGCATCCAGGATAATCTTTTCCACACAAGAAAACACATTCACACTCCATGAGAAGTAGTAAAAGTTCATAAAAATAGGGGCCTGCAAACAAAATTTTTTTTTGAGGAGTGCAAAATGGCCAGTTATATATCTTTCTTTCACAGGAACTAGTGTATCCCCTAATCATTCTTCTTACCAATCAACAAGCTTTTGCAATTACTGCAAGAACATTTCAAAGTGTACACTTGTTTTTATGAAAAAAAATGGCCTAAAGAGCTCCAAAAAGATTATATTCATGACCACATTAACCTGCTTTCCCTGCCTATCCAAACCTGCCCCCATTCCCACTCCAAAAGAAGAGCAATGATTACTTAAAACTTATCCAAGAGAAATCAAGTACAGTATTACAAATGAAAGTACTTCAAGACGTACACAAAAAGTTCAAGACATAACTCATATTATCCATAATTCGCATTCCCAAAAAAAAAAAAAAACAGCACAACATAGAATCAAGTTCCATATGTTGAGAATCAGACATAGCTTAGTGGTTAAGGATCTTTGTCCCTGCTTCGTTTTTCCAACCCCTCTCTTTTATAATTAACCTACGAAAAGAGACGAGACTTACCAGATTAACCTGCTTTCCCTGCCTATCCAAACCTGCCCCCATTCCCACCCCAAAAGAAGAGCAATGATTACTTAAAACTTATCCAAGAGAAATCAAGTACAGTATTACAAATGAAAGTACTTCAAGACGTACACAAAAAGTTCAAGACATAACTCATATTATCCATAATTCGCATTCCCAAAAAAAAAAAAAACAGCACAACATAGAATCAAGTTCCATATGTTGAGAATCAGACATAGCTTAGTGGTTAAGGATCTTTGTCCCTGCTTCGTTTTTCCAACCCCTCTCTTTTATAATTAACCTACGAAAAGAGACGAGACTTACCAGAAATCACGAAGGATTAGAGAAACCAGTCAAATTGGACTAGTTTTTGGCCCTGGCCGTGGACGGGGTTGTTAATGGCAGAAAACAGAGGCTGTGGGCGGCAGTGGAGGCAGAGGTTGCTGTGGAGTGCGGCTTGCTGTGGAGTGCAGGGTTACGGTGTTGCGGGGTTGCGGGCTGCGGGGTTGCGGTGTTGCGGGGCTGCGGGGGTTGCGGGGCTGCGAGGTTGCGGAGCTGCGGCGTTGCGGGGCTGTGGGTGCGGCTGTGGGTTACTGGTTGCCGGTTGCGGGGTTGCTGGGTGCTGGGTGCTGGGTGTTGGGTGTTGCGGAGCTGTGGGTTACTGGGTGCGGTGTTGCGGGGTTGCTGGGTGCTGGGTGCTGGGTGTTGGGTGTTGCGGAGCTGTGGGTTACTGGGTGCGGTGTTGCGGAGCTGCGGCGTTGCGGGGCTGTGGGTGCGGCTGTGGCCTGTGGGTTACTGGTTGCGGCCTTGCGGGGTGCGGCGGAGAGGGAGAGGCAGAAATGAAGAATGAGAGTATGAGACGATGCAATATCAACCCTAGTCCAAATTTCTACCTGTTGACTGCTAAAATGACACAAATACCCTTCTTTGTCGAGCTCAACCGAGCTACTCGATAAAGAATCGAGTTCGAGCTTACTCGGCTCGATAACTAAACGAGTATTTGTCGAGCTCGAGCCTTATCGAGCCGAGCCTTAACGAGCTTTCGAGCTACTCGTTTCGCTTAACAGCTCTACTTACACCGCTAGAATCGACAAACTAGCAATGCCTGCTGGATATCAACCGCCTAAATTTCAACAATTCGATGGGAAAGGTAGTTCAAAGCAACATGTGGCCCATTTCATCGAAACCTGCAATAACGCTGGAACCTATGGTGACCTGCTAGTTAAACAATTCGTCCGATCCTTGAAGGGCAACGCGTTTGATTGGTACACTGATCTCACTCCAGGGTCCATCGATAGTTGGGAACAGCTAGAACAAGAGTTCTTGAATCGCTTCTAAAGCACTAGAAGAACCGTTAGTATGTTGGAGTTGACTAACACTCGTCAATGGAAGGACGAACCTGTGGTCAACTACATTGATAGGTGGAGAAGTCTGAGTCTCAATTGCAAGGATAGACTGTCTGAACCCTCTGCCATAGAAATGTGCATCCGAGGAATACATTGGAGCCTGAGCTATATTTTACAGGGTATACGTCCAAATACGTTTGAAGAATTAGCTACTCGTGCTCATGATATGGAGTTAAGCATCACGGTCAATGCAACTGATGGGCTTTCCATTCAAGCTCCATGAGTGCAGCCGCCTCGTCAAAGTAATGAAAGGCAAGAAAATAAAAAGGGGGGCAAACCTCCTTCAAAATTCAGTAGTAAGGAGTTCATGGCAATAAATACAGCTCCCATGAAGATTGCTATCAAAGTGAGTCGAAAAGTCACCGAAAGAGTATACTCTCTTCAAAATAGGTCGGTAAGAAGGCCTACTCTAAAAGAAATGCAAGAAAAGGAATACCCCTTCCTCGAATCCGATTTACAAGGAATGTTTGATGATCTTTTCAAGGAGAAACTCCTTGAACTTCCCGACATGAAACGCCCAGAGGAAGCTGGTCAAGTCAATGATCCAAATTATTGCTGTTATCATCGCTTGATTGGCCACCCTCTCACTAAATGCTTTGTCTTTAAAGACAAAATTATGGAATTGGTCCGTCAAGGAAAAATCCTTCTCGAGGAAGATAAAGTATCGGCAAATCAAACAACCATAATGTTTGGGTCTGTGTGTCGTCCGATATAAGTTTTATCCACAACAAGCGGTGCTTCGTCCAAGAAGCTTGGAAAATCCTCAATTGAAGATGTTATTGAAGATGACAACGAAGGATGGACTTTAGTCACTCGAAAGAGGACTTGCAAGTCAAAAATAAAGAAGTACATCTTTTCAAAAAGCATTCGTTCGACAAAATCTGAAGTGACAATGAGACGACGAAATGCAACAAAGAAACAAAAGGGAGTGGCCACAAAACCAATTCCTTCAGATTTTCAGCTCCTTCAAGAGGTTCGACAGCCCGTGACACTGAGAGAATTTATACCTAAGGGGTATTTAAGTGACGATACTGATGACTCCACCTCTTGTAATGTCGTCAAAGTTGAAAATTCTCAAGTCACACAAATTAGCACGGAATTTGAGAAAAAACTCAAAATCGATGATAAATCGCCAATAGATTGTGCAATGACTATCATTTTTGATGATGACGATTTGACTGTCGAGTTCAAAACTCACAATCGACCTTTGTTTGTTAGTGCGTATGTTCGAGAGCAGAAGATGAATCGGATACTCATTGACGGAGGATCTGCTGTCAATATCATGTCCGTGCGTGCTATGAAAGAGTTAAGAATCTCAAGCGATAAACTTTCCCAGAGCCGCCTCATGATCCAAGAATTTAACCAATGGGGGCAAAGAGCAATTGGCCTTATAAGGCTTGAATTGCTCATTGGCGAGTTGTCTTCAAGCGCGTTATTTCATATAATTGAAGCCAAAATCTCTTATAATATGCTCTTGGGAAGACCCTAGATTCACGAGAATGAAATTATACCGTCTACTCTGCATCAATGTTTCAAATATTGTCGAGACGGTATAGTTAAGAAGGTTGTGGCCGATGATAAACCTTTCACTGAGGCCGAAACTCACTTTGCCGACGCCAAATTTTACCTGCAGAAAGAAGCAAAAAGAAAAAAATCAGTAAAAGAAGAAAATCAAGATTCCAAGGTGCCCATTTTGCGGTATATTCCAAGATCAAAGAGGGAAGAAAGTCAATCCTCTTTTGTCAGGAATGATACATTAAATGTTCCGCTTACCAAAATAGAGCCTGTTAAGAATGAAAAAGTGAGCTTGCAAGGATTTGTTCGTCCCAAAGAAGAACCGGCAGTAGAACATTACTCACTGCCAACTAATCGGACTCAAGGAGGTTTTGATCCAAACGCATACAGACTTCTTGCTAAGGCCGGTTATAACCCAAATGAGAAGCATGTATTGGGAAAACTCCCTCCTGAGGTGACTGGCGAGAAGACTCATGGATTAACACCTACGCAGAAAATGTTGAAAGGAAAAGACTATAATGTTGAAAGTTCATCGATGGGTCTTGGTTATCAACCACCTTCTTCAGTGCGTATAATGATCAAAAGAGCAAGTTATAATTACGTGAACGAAGAAGTGGAGGTCACAAGCCGAAAGAGATCTGTGTTCGATAGGTTGGAGAATAAGTCAAAGCGTACTTCTGTGTTTGACAGACTTGGCCCGCAGCCGAAACATTTGAAACCGCCTGTCTATGAAAGATTAGGCAGTAAAAAGCAAGAGTATCAAGTTGCCAAGCAAGAAAGTGCTACTCTAATAAGGAAGAACGGACCAAGAAAGCGAGTCTCCAATTTCTTCATGCGCTATGGAGATTTATTCAATATAAGAATTGAAACTATTTTTGAAGAACATGATCAAGAAAGTATGGCTTCCTGTCATCATATTACGATCAGTGATCTTGAAGAGGAAGAAGAAGATGCCGATGACGCTCCCGTTGAATTTGAACAAGGAGTAAAGAATACAATCGATGCGCTAAAGGAGATTAATCTTGGCACAATTGACGACCCTCGCCCAATTTACATAAGTTCTTGTATGACCCCTGAAGAAGAGAAAGAGTATGTTGATTTGCTGCTCGAGTTCAAAGATGTCTTTGCTTGGAATTACTCAGAAATGCCTGGTTTGGATCCTAGAGTCGCTGTTCATAACTTGTCGGTCAAGCGAGGAACAAAATTTGTCAAGCAAACTCAAAGGCGCTTTCGGCCCGAATTGATTCCTCTTATAGAAAATGAGATAAATCGATTGATTGAAACCGGATTCATACGAGAAGTAAAATATCTAACATGGATTTCAAGCATTGTCCCTGTAAGGAAGAAGAATGGGCAAATCCGAGTTTGTGTTGATTTTCGAGACTTAAATGAGGCTTGCCCCAAAGACGATTTTCCTCTCCCCATCACAGAATTGACGGTAGATGCTACAACCGGGCATGAAGCTCTATCTTTTCTCGATGGATCGTCTGACTACAATCAAATACGTATGGCGCCCGAGGATAAGGAGCTCACTGCCTTCCGCACCCCAAGGGAATTTATTGCTATAAAATGATGCCGTTTGGCTTGAAGAACGCTGGAGCGACATACCAAAGGGCAATGCAAAGAATTTTTGATGATATGCTCCATAAGAATGTGGAGTGCTACGTCGACGACCTTGTGGTGAAATCAAAGAAGTGAGAGGATCATATTCAAGACTTTCGAAGAGTTTTTCAACACTTTCGAAGATACCAACTGAAGATGAATCCTTTGAAATGCGCATTTGGAGTCACTTTTGGCAAGTTTCTCGATTTCATCGTTCATCAGCGAGGAATAGAGGTCGATCGATCTAAAATTGATGCCATTGTGAACATGCATGAACCGCGAAATATTCATGAATTGAAGAGTTTTCAAGGGAAGTTGGCTTATATCCGCAGGTTTATCTCTAATTTGGCCGGACGATGCCAACCCTTCAGTCGACTGATGAAGAAAGGGGTGCCCTTCGAGTGGGATGAATCGTGTAGGAATGCTTTTACAAGCATAAAAATGTATCTCATGAATCCCCCAGTATTGGCTGCACCCATCCCAGGAAAACTATTGATTCTCTATATTTCCGCTCAAGAACGATCGGTTGGGGCCTTACTTGCTCAAGAAAATGATGAAGGTAAGGAGAATGCGCTGTATTACTTGAGTCGGATGATGACACCTAATGAGCTGAATTACTCACCCATCGAGAAGTTGTGCTTGGCACTTATATTTGTCATTCAGAAGCTAAAACATTATTTCCAAGCACACACTATTCGACTCATATCTAAGTCTAATCCCATTAAATATGTGATGGCAAAACCTGTACTGTCTGATCGGCTCGCGAGATGGTACCTCCAGTTTCAACAATTCGAAATTATTTATGTACCTGCGAAGGCAGTCAAAGGACAAATATTGGCAGACTTTTTAGCTGATCATCTCATACCTGCCGAATGGGAGTTGACTGATGAACTCCCCAATGAAGAAGTGTTTATGGTCGAATTCCCGTGGTCAATGTATTTCGATGGAGCTGCTCATCGTGATGGAGCTGGTGCGGGAGTTGTCTTTTATACTCCTGAAGCAGATGTATTGCCGTACTCCTTCACTTTAACACGCCGATGTTCAAACAATGTGGCCGAATATCAGGCGTTGATTCTTGGTCTTGAAACGGCTGTAGACATGAAGCAGTTGCATCTTAGAGTCTATGGTGGTTCAAAATTGGTGGTAAATCAACTTCTTGGTATTTATGATGACAAGAAACCTGAATTGATCCCATATTATAAGTATGCAAAACAACTCATGGGATATTTGGATAGTGTCACTATAGAACATATCCCTAGAAATTTCAACCAACAAGCTGACTCTTTGGCAAGAGTGGCGTCCATGATCACTTTACCTTCTCATCGAAATCAAATTTCAATATGTCAAAATTGGGTCATACCTCCGATGTTTGATGAAGAAGATGATGGTGAGGGAGAAAATATTTATCATATTTTTGTCCATGAGATCGAAAAGGAGGATTGGCGTCACCTCATCGTTGATTACCTTAATCATGGAAAGTTACCAGAAGATCCTAAGAAAAGGGTTGATATACGTCGTCGAGCGCCACGTTTCATTTACTACAAAGGGACGCTTTACCGGAGATCATTCTATGGGGTGTTTCTACGATGTCTTGGAGAAGATGAGGCCATGCAAGCAATGGAGGAGGCTCACTCTGGGATATGTGGTGCTCACCAATCTGGCCCGAAATTACACTTTCGCATTAAAAGAATGAGATACTACTGGCCAACAATGGTGAAGGACTGCATTGACTTTGCTAGAAGATGTCAAGCTTGTAATTCCATGGCAATTTCATCCATCAACCTCCTGAACCATTGCACCCAACTGTAGCTTCTTGGCCGTTTGATGCTTGAGATTTGGATATAGTTGGACCACTTCCAAAGTCTTCTGGCGGACATATTTTCATTCTGGCGGCGACAGATTACTTTTCGAAGTGGGCTGAAGCGGTCCCTCTAAGAGAGGTCAAAAAGGAGAATATAGTAGATTTCATTCGCTTGCACATCATTTATCGGTATGGAGTTCCGCGCTATATCATCACCGATAATGGTAAGCCTTTTTGCAATGTAGCAATGAACAAGCTTTGCGAAAAGTTTCATTTCAAGCAATACAATTCGTTCATGTACTACGCTGCCGCAAATGGACTCGCTGAAACATTCAATAAGACCTTATATAATATGTTGAAGAAGATCGTGAATAAATCGAGAAGGGATTGACATCTTCGAATTGGAGAAACACTTTGGGCATACCGAACTACTTTTCGAACTCCCACGCAAGCGACCCCATACGCGCTTGTTTATGGTGTTGAAGCTGTTTTTCCACTTGAGTGTCAAATACCTTCGCTAAGAATTGCGATTCAAGAAGGGCTCAGTGAAGAAGATAATGTTCGTCTTCGCCTTGAAGAGTTAGAAGCACTCAACGAAAAGAGATTGGAAACTCAGCAACGGATTGAGTGCTATCAGGCTCGCCTTTCAAAAGCATTCAATAAGCACGTCCGACCTCGCTCTTTTCAAATTGGAGATTTAGTACTCGCTGTTCGGAGACCGATCATTCTCACTCATGGAGGACAAAGAAAGTTTACCGCTAAGTGGGATGGTCCATATATCGTTCGAGAAGTATATACAAATGGCTCATACAATTTGGTTGCTGAAGATGGATTAAGGGTTGGCCCCATCAATGGCAAGTACCTAAAAAGGTACTATGCGTAATCGAAACCACGAGAGGCTCCTGGCCCGCATGAGCTAAAACTGTGGATGGCAACCACCAATAGTGTAGCATGTGGTTAAACTGCTGAAACATTCCACCAAGTCTAAGGTGGTAAACAAATAGATGCTCCTGGCCCGCATGTGGTTAAAATGCGAACGGCAGGAACTACGTGTGATTTGATTCCCTTGTTGGGATACGTAGGCAGCTTGGAGGGCAACTTCTAAGTTCAGTTACACCACTCCAAATCAAATCCTCGTCCCTTGTAAAAAAAATGAATTTTCTCTTTCCAAAAAATAAAAAACATAATAAAATGCTCCATTTGAGTTCTTTTCTCTTTAAAAAAAAACCAAGAGATAAGAAATGAAAAGCGTTTTATTATTGAAAAAAAAAAGAAACTCATTACATGAAAAAAAAAATTATGAATGACAAAAGAATTCAGGAAAAAGAAGAACATGGTGGAAAGCCTGAATATCAAATTTGTATTCCACTACAGCTACTTTATATGATTCAAGTCCAGACTTCATGTCCTCAAGTTCCTTCACAGCGTCATCAATCAAGATGCTGGTCTGTTCAATGGAAGATAGCTCATCATGCGCTTGGGTTATTTCGACCTGGATCTCTTTGAAAGTCTCATGCTTTTGATCGATAGTTGAGGTGATTTCCAGGTTTTGCTTCTCCAGACTAATGAGTTCCTGTTGCAGAACCTTCTTCCTGACTTCAATGGATTGCAACTCTTCTTCAAGACTTTGCAAATGACGAGTCAGTTCTTCTTCCTTTGCCTTAACTTTATCGAGTTGGACGGTCGCTTTGGAAAGGAGTTCTGCATGTGTTTCTTTGCTCATCCTTTCCCACGATGAAGATGCTAGAACATCATAAGCCTCCGCCTTGGCAAACAATTCCATCAAGTGGTCTTTTAAAGGGAGACCATTGGCGGGATCCGTTCTTGTGATTTCTACAATGATTTCCTCCGCACACTCTTTTAAAGAAGAGATCTGCTCAATTGGAGTGTCAAGAATCTGTTCGCGGAAATCCATCCACAAACTCTGCAAGTACTTTCTTCGATGTGCCTGGATCAACTTTTGGCCATGAAATTCTGAAACCAATGCTACCTTAGGTCTTTTTCGAATTTCGTGTGAACCAGTCAGTTCCTTCTTATGCATTGATGAGGTATCTCCACTGGGGGCAAATTGTCTGGGAGTACTGATAGCTATTTCGTCATTTTTGTTGTTTAAGATTATATCATCAGCTTCAAGTTCGAGTGATGAATTGTTACTAACACCTTCTTGACGGAATTCAAGAAACGGGGGCTGAAAAGGAAAAGGTTACAAAAAAAAGAAAATTATTACAAAAAAGGGGAAAAGATGGAGAGATGATTACCTTAAGTGGCGACACTTCAACCGACGGTGGTGTAAAGGAAATCTCCTCCAAATCAGAAGATGTCCTCTTCTTCGATCGGTTCCAATGACGATCTTGACTACTACTACCGCTCGCCAATGAATGGACCCCTTCTTGGGTAGATCCGATGTTCTGAACTTGAGTTCCTTTCTTTTCTATAGCCTCAATAGAATCACGATCGTCTACCGTTTCAATTTCGACATCTTCTTCAGTGCGAGTTGCCGATAAGGATTTTGAAGCTTTGGGCGGCATTTTCTTCGCTGGAACCACTGGGTGCGCCTCTTTGATGGCCTGTCGAGAGTCCTTGGAAGACTTATTTTTTGTGACAATATTTTTCGAGGGACTGCTAGTAATTTTGTTCTTTCGCAAGGTGGATGAGGCAAGACCCGTTACAATCTCTATAGCTCCATTATGATGCCCTGACTCGTTAGCGGAGGTAATCTTACCCTTCTTCGATGATTGTTGAGGGATCTTAACGGTGAATTTAAAAGAAGTTGAAGAGACACTATTTGACCGAGTCGACCACCAGGCGTCATAGTCTTTTGTGATCAATGGATGCTTCCTGTGCGCCGGTATAGTCATCCGAGACCGTGTCTGCGTGCGAACTGAGGAATCTCATAGTTGAATAGCCTCACCCAAAGTATACGTGTGAGTGATCTCTTTCAAGTTGTTGGAGATGTCCTGACAGAAGCCGAATTGTCTGCTGAACCTGCAAGGATTATATTTTTCAATAATGAAAGTATTGTCCTTACGTAGAGTTAAATGGCAAGAGCGTTGACTAATGAAGTAGCTCGTGAGTCTTGACGATAAGGATCCGTCATCGATCAACGCCTTTTCTTCATTCTCAGTCCAGCACAATTTAGGAAGCATCAAAGGGTTCACTTCTTTGAAGATTTCCTCAGCTTCCAATTGGCCATAAAATATTGCCATTTTCTCACCACTAAATCTTGTCATGCGCGCATGGTGGCTACTCACTTAATGATTTTCGTAATAGATATCGAAGTATTGGCCAATCCAAGCATAAACGTAATGGATTGGAAAAGTTACCCTGCATTCTCCAAGGTTAGGGGCGTGGACGATCTCCCTCAACCCATGATATATGCTCGCAAGGACGGGAACTGCAAGACAAAATCTTTTTCCTGTGGCCATTAAGCATGCAACCTTGAAAACACTTGGGCGAATACGATCGACCTTTTTGCTTGGCAAAAGGAACTTGCAAATCCAACATGCTATGAATGCCGCAATATAGGTTTCCTTTCTTAGAGACCCTAGGATACCCAGGGTGTCAAAAGGGGCGTTGAAATCATTCGTATCGGCAAGATCGTAAGGCTCCACGCTTCCAGAAGGGTTGTAAGTCATTTTTGGTTTAAATGTGGTCTTCCTCCTATTCGCTCTACTCGGAGGAACCCTATACCTAGCCTCTCCTTTGAACCAGAAGCGAATCCAGTCCTTCATCCATACCCCTTGGTCATTCGTCCAAAGGTGGTAGTAGGCGGAAAAGAGGTGCCTGCAACTCTCGGGGAGAAGTGGCTTCCCTTCTTTGTCACGAGTGAGGAGCTCCCGCGCTGAAGGAACAACTTCATCGAAGAACGTGCCATCGATCGAAAGGCCACCAAGTCGATAGAGGTCCCAAAGTGTGATGGACAACTCCCCAACGGGCGTATGGAGTGTGTTCGTCGAGGAACACCAATATTTGAAGAAAGCTCGCAAGATATTTTCGCAGCGGTCATAGGAGTATCTCGACGCGTAAACGGCTTCAAATATACCAGCACGTGTGAGTATGTCTTTATACCTTCCGAGCATGTCCTCAACCCACTCCCAATAATGGGAGGTGAAGCACGCCTCACCGAAGAAGGACGAAGGGATTTTCCATGTAACTTTGTCAACATTGAATCCCACGAACGGAAGTGTGAACTTGGCTATTTCCAGATCTCCATTATGAAGAGACGAGTTTAACACAACCACTTCTTCTTCTCTCGACAAAGTGGAGAAAGTCGACGGTGCCACCACTTCCTTAGTCTACTTGCTAGTCCAATTTTCGAGATGAAAGCATCCTTCGAGGGGTATGAAGGATTCAGCGAGCGGGCCAATTGCGGGTTTGTAACATGTAGTGACAAGCTCTTTGATTGCGTTCCTCCCCGTTCATCTGTCAGCGAAATATGCGGCAGTGGCACGGCGTAATCCTTAATTTGCATGATTGTTGGAATTTTGAAAAAAAAGTATTAGGTAATGAAGGGAATTTCTTACAAAATTTTGGTTACTGAAAAAAAAAAAACTTTTTCTCAAGTACCATATTTAGTGTTAAGGAAAAAGGAAGGGAAATATATATATATATATATATATATATATATATATATATATATATATATATATATATATATATATTTTACTCAAATATCATATTTGGTATTGTCCTAATAGAAAAAAAAAACAAAACAAAAAACAAAAAAAAATGAAAAAAAAAAACAAAAAGAGAATGGTACGAAAATTGTGATTGAATTTCAGCCCGGAGGGGTAGCTCAAAAAAAAAAATATATATATATATATATTTTTTTTTTGAGCCAATCTTCGTTTGCTAGTGATATTTGAAGGATACGCATGATTTCGAAGGGTAGCTCAAATTTCATTTTTCGGCCAATCCTCATTCGGTCAATTTCAATCTTCCAGCCAGACTCAAGCCTCATTCTCAAATAATGTTTTGAGAATTTATTTAGTAAGGCTCTAAGCTTCTCAATTGACCGAAGTTTCTTGTAACAATTAAACATTGCGGACAAAAAAAAAAGGAGCCTCAAGTACCTGGTGAGCAAGAAAAAATTTTGGAGTGCAGCCGATGAATGATGATTGAAGCTTGTGATTCAGCAAAGTTCCTCCGAGGTTAATCTTCCCTTTGGTGAATTGCTGTTGGAAACTGGTGGCGGAGACAGACAGACAACGTCAGGGATGCATCAAGGTAAACACGCAAAGTCTCCTGCCGAAAGTTTCTTCTAATAAGTAAATGTTGAAAAGAGGTCTTTGAGCACTTGAAAGAGATGATTGGCAGACGTAATATAATCGATTCTTACGGTGGGATGCTTTCATGCGAAACCAATAAAGAAGATCAGACATGATGCTAGGTATTGGATTTGAAATAAATTGGAACCAGGCCGCAAGGGAACTAGAAGGCCATGTTATCCTACTGGTTCAGCGCGTAACATGTGTAAGATGCAAATTCCAAGTACCAACCACATTTGAGACACCAAGGGTGAGCCAAAACAAGCACGCAAAGGCTATTACCGAAAGTTTCTAATGACTAAGCGCTGGGAAAAAGCCTTGAGGCATCTAAATATCAAATAATCACATTAAGAGACGACAGGCTCAGCATGCAAATCTGAAGTATTAGTCACACTAGATGCAACAAAGTGCATACAAACTTCAAATATTAGTCATACTCAAGGTAGCAGAGTGAATTAAGATAAACATGCGAGCCGTTAGTGTAGGAATGTGTGAATACCCGTGAACAATGGTTCAGGATAATTACCTTCAAGTCGCAGCAACAGCAGCAGCTGAGTTTCGCAAGGGCCCACGACCGACGGCGTAGCAATTTATAGGTGACACGGGAGCAGTTTGC